AGAACTTGGTTTTGCAGAATTGAGCCTCTGACAGATAGAAACAAATATAAAAATGTTAGAAAGTTTCGTACCTGGAAGAAAAACCCCGACAGTGTGTTCTCTGCTTTCTGGAAAAATCACTGCATTTTAGAGTTTAGGAAGGTGGGATTGTGTTTAGAGAATTCCAGTTTCAAAAAGGATGATAATGGGTAGTAACCCACAATAGTTAGTGTTAACAGACAAACCTGATAGCTGTCATTAATAAACTATATCTCTGAGAACTTCTTGTAGGTTTTACTGATTTTTTTTTTTTGCTTTACAATATAGAAATCTGTTCATAAGTAACATTTTAAATATTAATGGTTTAGGATAATTTGATAGCATAATTTGGTTTCATATACTGAGCAAATAGAAAGCAAAATTATTTTTATAATTTTGAGAAATAGGAAACAAGCTCCTGGAAAGCTTTATGCTGGAATCACTATGTTTAATAAAATCTGAAAAATGAAACAGAGTAAACATATGTTGCTTACATTTTTAGTTGACTCTGAATGAGGCATCATTACAAGTGCATTGAAGGATACCATGGAAATACAAAATAATCTGGAGGGTAATGGACAGTTCTAAATGGGTTTTAAATTTAGATAAACATTACATAATGCATTCCAGGCACACGGCATTATATATAAGCATTGTTGCTGCAGAATGGGAGATAATACTGCTTAAGCTCTTCAGCCCTCAGTACTCCTCCTTCAAGTCATTTTTCGCATATAAGTAGCTAGAAATCTGATCACAGTATTGCTGGAAGGGGAGACTGCTTGTAGGGAGCCTCGGGCTCTGTGCTTGTAATTTTTGAGTGTAATTAAGATGATGTGTCCGTGTTTACCTACCCAACCAAGCACAGAAAAGAAAGGTCTCAGTAAAGAACAGTTGTCCCACAGTCTAGAAAGCTTAAGCTTCTTTCAGAATCAGACCCTGATATGAGTCTGAATACAGTTTCTCACAATACCAAAGTTACTCAGTTAGCCATTGGTCCTCCAACCCTCCATCAGTGACAACAGAGAATGATAAATATAGGGACTCCACATGCTGCCACATGGTATTAAGACTCTGCATGAGCTATAGGTACATGTTCCTCCTTAATGTAAATACGGTTTGATTGCTGACACACGTAACACTTAATTTTGCCCCTGCCTTGATTGAATTTACCACCACTGTGGACTCATTACTGAAGTGATAGGTTGTCCCTCTAAATATGAATTGGTTTTGGTAAATAATTTTTATATTGCTTTATTTGAAAGCTTTCAAACATGTGCTTGAGACATCACGTGGAATGTTAATGGTATGATGACACTTTCAAGTAGAAATACATGGAAAACCACACGGTAATTCACAAGTTAGTAGTGTGTATTCGCTATTACAGTTACTAAGAATGAATTTTACAAAGAACTGCCTGTTCACCTAAAATAAAAAAATTCGTTAAAGGTCCTTTGCTGTGGATTAGAACCTGAATGAAGCATTGCAAAGCAAGTCACTTGTTTTCCTGTACTGCTTTGCAGTCTGCTTTGCTGCCCACTTTCCTGCATAATTTCTGTTTTGCTGCTGAAACGTCAGATCGATCCTTCCTGGAAAATGTGTGGAACAAGATGAAAAGCCTGCTGCAATCTTTTTCTTGGCTGGGGGAGAGGAAAGGAGACATTTTGAGTTTTGCTTTCAAAAGTTCTCTTAAAGATCTCTTGTCTTGGCAAATGATGTAGAGTTCTCTGGGGAAAAAAAGTAGAAGGTGGTCATTCATATGTGGGTCATTTTTACATGATATATCATAGACTTAAATTTCCGTGAATAATTGCTGATAACAAACAAAACTTCAAGACTTTACAGTGACAAAATTGCTCCAGAAATGAAAGGTAAAGAAGGCTTTCCCAAACTGTGTGAAGCATAAATGGAGCAAATGGATTCAATTTCTGCTTTGATAGTTCTCCTTTATAAACATTGTCATTCAAAACTAATATATTTCTTCATAGTTTCTGATAATAAAAGTCTGATAGTGTGGTGGTCAGTGCAAGGCAAAATAAAGCAAGTACAGACAAAATGTAGTGTCACGCAGCAGTAATTGTAAGCAAGTAATTTCAAAAATACAGAGAAATCAAGTGTGGAAGTCAGAATAAAAAGACTCAGGAAATTAAATAGCAACAGAAAAATTATTTAAGTCTGACACTTAAAAATAAGTGTGCAGGAAATGAGAAAAAATGTCTGAAGATACAGTTGCAAATTGAGATGATAAAGGACACATTGCTGAAGTTAGCCAGTAAAGCATCCAAATGCCAAGGTGATAACTAGCAAGCAATGCAAATAATGAAGAGCCTGCATTCACAGGCGAAGCGCATTGCTGCTGTTCTGTGGAAAAGGATCATCTCTGCTGCTTTCTCCTGTTCTTTCACTTTTGCCATTTGTCATCGACGATGCTTGTTGAAGAGGCTGTTGGGAAAGTGTCTCCGCACTGCCATGTGCACACACTCCTGTTTGGCTGGTTGAAGGCCTGCTCAGGAGCATAAACGTTGTTCTTGTGCCTTACCCTCCTGTGCCTGGTTAGTTCCTCTTGCTGCGTCATCTCTCAGCACAGCACTGAGACTGCTCCAGTGTGTTACTGGGACATGCCTTGGCAGTGTTCACTTCTGAACAGTCGCTCCTGTTCTGGTCTGCTGGAACTCCTGACTGTGAGGACAAAAGGGGCAGAATAGCAGGAAGTGCAAGTTGAAAAAAAGAGGTGTGAGAGAAGGCAGCCAAGGAAAGCCATGCTCATTTACCTTCTGTTCCCTTGGCTTCATCCTGTTGCGACTTGCTTTGCCCAGCTTCATGTAACAAAGTTACATGAGCTTTTTACTCATGTCACCATTTAATTCCTTTACTAATTCATACTGTATAATGGAACAGGATGTGTGATTTGCTTCTTGGATATAATAATATAGAAAATTCACAGACATCAGTAAATAAATGTATTATCCTGGCAGTATGTCTTCCTGGTACTGGTCATTTAGTATATGAGGTTTTAAAATGTCTGTTGTAGCAGTAGCAGTAGTGTTAGACTATTTTTATATGGGAGTAGTCTGGTTGTTCTTTCATCACAAAAAGATGAGCAGTGTCTAGTTTATCTATGTGCAGACTACATTATTGTCTCACAAAACAATGTCCCAGTGCTAGGATTGCTTCATTAAGTTTATGCTACATAGACATAATTATGCAGGAGCTAAGAATAGCTCATCTAATTGAAAATAATGATTATAGAGAAAGAACGGGTTTGATAGCTGTTACTAAGCAAGCACATACCATACACCCATTCATGAACTGCACAGAACACATATGGGATTATACGGTGTGTTTGTTATTATTAACAGTTTCTTTCCCCCATCCTAAATACAAATTGAAGGTGTTACAGCTTATTTGTTCATTATCTTTTTTTCTCACAGACCGAGAGGGACCCGGAAGAAGGCAGCATAAGCTGATATTTATCCAGTAAATTATGACAAGCTAAGCTTTGAAATAACATTCAACATTTATCCACACACACATTTTAGGAAGGATGTAACTTAAATAAATCTTCTCCAGGCACCACAGATGAAACTGTCTATGTGGTTTTTTTATGACTGTGTTTATACTAGTACCCTAAGGGATTAAACATCCTTTTAGAAATGCAAAGTCTGCCGTTCTGTTAGTCTCTTGATGCTCATTCTGGTTAATGCTAACTTTTAATTCTTACTTTGTCTAAAACACATAGAACTCTTCTTTATTTTTTGAAAATAAAACTGAATTTTTACGATGAAGTTGTTGAAAGTTTTAATTTATTTGATTGCTGTTGATTATTATCACCAGGCACACAGGATAAAAGTTGGTGCTACTGTTGTTCTCTTAAATAATTATTTTCTTACTTCAGTGTCAGTTTTCTACTAGAATGTTACGAGAAAAGGGATGAGATCATGAAATTTAATGTATCTGGTTTAGGAAGGTTATTAATATCTCTAGAGTCTCAAAAAATTCTGCTAGTTTGCTGTGTTTAGCTTTCCCTCTGTTTTAACGAACCATTTCATAGCTCTAGGCTGTGTGCTAATGTTGTGGAGGCACAGAGAGATCACTGCCATCAGGAATTTTTAAACAGATGACTGTTTGGAAAATGAAGTGGTGAGAGAAGATGGGACAAACCTAGATGCAAACCTGCAGTAACACAACTATCGGTTTGCACAGTCTGGAATCAGAGGCCTTTGCACAAGCTGTTCTTGAGGCTTTTTAAGAAATAGCAAAAGGAAAAAATGGAAGCAAAGGGCAGATTACTTTACCAGAGTATTCCAAACTGTTGTCTTGACTTCTGAAAAGTTGCCTTTTCAGATTGGTTTTGGATTTAAAATTCAGTGAGTTACAAGAATTTAAAACTGTTAATAAACTGTTGTTTATACAAATGCCTATTGAAGTGTCAAACACATTTTCTGTGCTATTTCTTTGCAACATGGTCTGACTGTAGAAGACATTTCCCATATTTTTGGGCCAACATACCTGAATTTTGCCCTTCAAAAGTTTTTACATGGCACCCAGCATTGAGCATTAACTTCGAAATGTTGTAAGGGTAGTAGCATTTGAACACCATGTATCCTGGTCTCACAAAAACCTGTTTAGGAGTCAGTGTGGTGGCTCAGTCTGACCTTCTGTATACTTTTGTGCACATTGTGGTAACGTGAAATTAAATCCTAACCCCAGATTTCTGTCAGATACTATATGTTTTTTGTAATTTTAATTATAAGCTTGGGCTGTAATTGTGTTCCTGCAAGTAAGTGTGATTCGAGGATGAGCAGGACTGAAGAGCTGAGAGGAACAGTGGTTTGATTCTGAAATACTTTGCTGATTCGCAGTTACTCACAAGTGGGCATAAGAGCACAGGATAGTGTATGATAGCTGAGGTCCTTTACTCTCACATTCTTGATGCAACTGATAAAAGACTACTTTGCATAAAAACTGTTTTCTACTTTGTACAGAACCGCACATGCAAGAGCTAAAGCTGATGCTGCGGATCAGGCTGCTCAGGCTGCTCGACAGGAATGTGATATTGCAAGAGCAGTTGCCAGAGAACTTTCACCAAATTTCTACCAACCAGGTAATTGTAGATTGGGGTTTTTTGTGGCTAATTGCTTTATTGCAGTGAAAAGATTTTGTGTTAAGTTAAAAGTGTTGATTTCATTTTGAATGTTATCATTTAAACGGAAATAATAGTCATCTCAGTCATGAGGAGTGCACATTGCTAAAGGAGATTTTGCTTTCAGTTTTTAATAATTTGCTTACTATAGCTTTGTATGAAAACAGTTGTGTGTTGAAAAGTACCAAGGATCTAACTTTGCCTCAGATTAATGGTTTATTCAGTATGGTGTCAAAGATAGACTTCAGAGAACATAAAAACATAAAACATAATTTTATAATGCATTTGTTAGTGGAAAGATCCTTAGCTTTTTTACTGTCCAGTGGAATTCTTGACGATCTGGGTTAGCTAAGGTCTGAATTTTGGTGAATGCTTGACCATTAGACATACATAATCTGTGGGGGAATCTTTCTCTGTTATGCCTGTGGTGCTCTGTGAAACATTAGTCCCCTATTCAAGATATAATAGAATTAGGTCTATCTCACTTTTATCAGCGTCGCAGCTCATTTTAATCTGTCACGTGGTTTGAAAAGTTGTTATAGAAAGAAGCAAAGCTGATTTTGCTTTGTTTTTCTGCTCTCTTTCCATGAAGCTAATATTTTTGAGTACTGCTCTTTAGCTTAAGATTGAATAGATAAAATGGAACTCCATTTGCCAATTTAATGTCTTTTCATGTCTGCCCTTTCTTTCACCTGTCAAATTGAGTTGAGTCATATCTTGTTATTACTTTTCAAGGACCTGCCAGCACTCATATGCTAATACAGATTATAGCTCTGAGATTCATTTTCACTTACTGTCATCTTCTGCATATCTTTGTTTCAGACATAACCTGCTTATTCTTAAATGTACCCATATAGTGAATGGAGGCTAATATCATGACCCACAAAATAAACACACAACAACATTCTTCAGCATTTTCTAAAAGTGCACCTATTCTCTTCAATTTTTATTTTAAATGACTACTGTATATAACTTGTTACTAAATCTTTACTGTCAGAAAGTTTAAAGAATACTCGTTTTTTTCTTTATTCCTAAGTACTTGTTTGTATTTTGGGGTTGGGAGAGTTGGGGCACTCTTTTTTTATTCATTTAGTGCATAAATCAAGGGTTGGCCACCTGATTAGAACCTCCATTCCCCTCGCCAGTCTTGCAAACTTTCTTTGTACACATCCTGATATAAATTCATCTTTCTTGAACATGGCAGTCCAGAACTGTAGGCAAAGTTCAAAAGAACTATTTCCAGTACTAGCTTTAAAACAGTATAAATATGTACCTTTCACTGCTGGAAATTACCTCAATACTACCTCCCCTGTTGATGTATATTAGTGACCCATACTTCTATAATAATCAAGTCTTTTTCTTTTTTCATTATTTCATTCTTCTATCAGCTGAAGAAGTTCCAATTTATAGCAGCAGGTCATCTTTCCAGTCATAAGTTAAGAAGTCATAGGTGTAGCCATGCAAAGAATTGAAGCATTTGGAAAGAAAGTATTTGAAAGCTTGCCAAACCCTTGAAATAAAGAAATGGCTGGAGCACTCGAGTGAAAATGCAAACATCTGATGGTGTGAAATTTGATGCCAAGAAATTGCCCAAATCAAGAATTTCTCAGATGTCTTTTTTTACTTCCTGCCACAGGAAATGAAGTAGCATTGCTGACAAATTGGCTGAGATTTGGGGAGAGAAGGTGTGGGATCTTATTTTCCTCTCATTTGAAACTTTTATTCCAATTACAGAAGAGAAGAATTTGTATCACCTCTGCAAATGCAGCTGGATATGTGTGCAGTGATGTAACAAAGCATTTCTTAAAGTTTACTTTGTTCTTTGTATGGAAACATCTCTCAGTTACTTAGCTACCTATCAAAAGATAAATACCTCTTCTGGAGTCTAAATTTTGAGTTTCCTAATTATTTTCAAGATAGCCAAATACAGCATGTTTGTATACACTTGAAAAAAATTGCTATTCCCATTGCTTAGGTAACTTGCAAAATGCCAAGATATTAACTAAATTTCGGTTTTCCCAAATAAGCTGCAGCAAACCACCGGGTTCACACATCATTGTGATAATTTCAAATACTATCATGTCTAAGATGTTTTCCAGACTCAGTTTACATGATGCCTTTTTCAGATACATTTCTTCTGTGTGGTACTAGTTAACCCTGAGACTCACTTGTCCACGCGTTTGTTTATGGATTTCCCAAGTCATGCCAAGACTTACTGGAGAGTGTTATCATTAGCTTTTGCCATTTATGGTAATAAAATAGATAAGTATTTTTAATTATTTACATTCACTCACACAAACAACAGTAAATAGCTGCTCTTTGAATAGCATTTTTCATGTGTTTAAATGAAAACAAGATAACCGTTATTGCTTCCTTATAGCAACTTCTTGGTTTTCCTCTGTTTCTTGAGCTTTATATTTTTTACAGTATCTTTATAAGTCTCTGTAAGTGCTACTAAAAGGTAATGGTAAGTTTTGTGTCTCAGTCTCTCAAGCTATAGTTAAGTGAAAACTTTCCATTGTACTAAATAGTCTTGAAAATAAGTTATGAGACAGTGTAATTTTTCTCTTATTTATTTAACTGCTTAGTATTTCAAACATGCTGTCAGCAGTAAATGTATGTAGTATATCAACAAGCCTCTTCAAACAAAGAGACAAAAAAAGTCAAATACAAATACCTCTCTGTAAACAACTGTGAATTTTTTTTTCTGTCTTAATGAGTGATTTCTGAATTACTTGCAGCCTAAGTCCATTGATAAAGCTCTTAAATTTTAGATTCTTAAAAAGCAACCTTCTGGGCCATATAGCCTAGTATTACACACAAATTGTAGTTACAGTGAATATTCGTAAGTCATTGTACCATGATAATTCATACTTTCCAATTACTTTCTCTCACGTTTCACTTTTATGTTCATTAAGACATTCATCAGAAGCTGCCAAGATGTTCTAGCTTTGTAATGTAGTTAAAAGGAGACTAAAAGGAGAACAAAGCAGTAGAAAGTAAAGTGGCATCCAGCATTTAAGCATAATAATGTCAGTAATTAGGTACTCTAGAAATCTTGAGATTCAGGTTTCGAAGTGATTGATTGCCTTAGTGTTTGCATATGAGTAAAGCCAAGTATGATTGAAAAGGTCAGAGCCATGGTATAAAGAGTTATAAGGCTGCAGGGAGATGTTTTCCCTGAGTTTGTTCATGCTAGTCTTAGGCAAGACCCTGCTTCTACTTTCGTTGTACAGAGATTTGTCCTAGTGATTAATAATTATGAGGATTCATATCTTTTCAGAGCCCTATACACAAGGCTATACATTTTGTAGATTTAACAAATGTTGCAGTCTTTACAGAGGCCATATTTTGCAGGCCTTTTTATCAACAAATAAAATGAATTTTGAGAAATCCCAGCTCTGACCTGTTTGTTTTCTCCAGGCATCACAAAACTTGTAGATGTGTCAAAAGAGAGCATACCAGGACAGAAACAAATGAAACCTGAGTCATAGCCTCATTCAAGGGAGTCATCCAGGGACAGTTTGAGATTTGTTTTTGCTTAGAGAAAAAATAAATGCTGTTTTGTGTCTCTTGTTAAAATGTAGAGAATAGCAAATGACTAATGGGAGTGCTGTATCAAAGGTCTAACAGAAAAGAAAGGATTTTGTACACCCAGTAAAAAGGAGGAGTATTGTTCTAATATTGCACAAGGTTAGAAGATGTTTTGACTTACACATTCATTCTAAATTCCACAGACCATCTCTCAGATATAGTCTTGTAAACACATTATCAGGAGGTAAACTGAAGTATGAACTGTACAGACTGGACAGCTAAGCCATAATTGTCTGTGTGCATGTATATCCTGCAGCAAATGGATACTGCTCTTTCATTCAGTTTGAATGAATAACATTTGATTAAATGAAAGAAGGGTGAAACTACTTTGCTGCAGGGTAAGAACCGTCTGGGCACTTTACCACAGAGGAATTAAGGTCTGGAAATTCAGATCTGAATTGTTTTCTGGCAGATTATATGTCAGGCTAGCCAGCTGCCAGATGAACATACATGGATCACCAAAACAATTCATCCAGCTTTTGATCTCCTAAACAAGGCATGAGAGAAATCAAGGAGCAGTTTATCAAACTAAAGCTGTCTAAAGAGATGGACAGAATTTTTTCAGGTGAAATACATAGCAAATATTTTCTAATGATAAGAATAAGAATTTAGCAGGTTTTACCATTATTTTTTATTATAATGTTTGGTTACTCTTAAAGCATCACTATTAACATGCTGAACATTTCTAGTTTCAGAAATAAGCATTTTAAGTTTATGATAAGGCCATTTGTAATGGCCTCTGATGCCTCAAAGAGCAACTGTGGTTTACATTCTCTTTTGACCAGTGGTGGATGTCTGTAGCCTCAGAAAAAAACACATCCTTCCCATCTTCCTCCTCTCTGTCATCGCCACCTCCTCCAGTTCTCAAAATGCAAACTCCATATGGACAGCAAAGAGAGATTTCTGGCTGATGCTAATTAACTAGAATGTCCTGGCTAAATGCATATGGGCCAGACCAGATATTTGTATTTAAAAAACCAATTACAATGAGCATTTTGCCTGAAAAGTTACCAGCCATGCCATCAGTTTGTGCCTTAGAGCATACGCTCACTACTCTTAGTCATACAAAAGCCTGTTCATTTTCTGAATTTAGTCTACATATGACTTCATCATCCGCACACAACTGTTGTTGCAATTCTTGCTATGCCATTTTTTCTCTACAATTTATTGCTTCCATTCTCTTTCTGCAGAACTCTGGAGAAGCCATAGCCTATAGACATATCCTGATACACTTCTGTTGTATCCAGTAGTAAAGAAAGAAGGTGCCTTTCTTTTTATAACCCTTGTTATACCAGTCTTCACAGCTTGCCTTCCAGATTTATCACCAGTCTCACCAAGCCCTATGTACAGATGGCCCCACCCTTTCC